AGAAACAAGACCTTGAAGGAAGGTTCTGGAATCTCTGCAACGGTGGAAAAATTCAGTATGTCCGTTATCCTTTGGACTACAACAGAGAAGCAGTCAAGACCCTTGTTCTCCGTGCTATGGAACTTGGTTATTACGAGGGTGTCAATCTTTCCCTTGCCTACTGTGATGATTGTGGGCATCAGGAACTGGAAATGGACATTTGTCCGAAATGCGGTTCCACCAACCTGACAAAAATTGACCGTATGAACGGTTATCTTTCGTACAGCCGCGTACATGGTGATACCCGGTTAAATGCCGCAAAGATGGCAGAGATAGCAGAAAGGAAATCTATGTAATTCTCTATACGATTTGTATTGACGGAATAGAGAATCTGAGGAACGGGATTGTTGCGCAAGCAGTAGAGGATTATTTCTCTCTGCTTGCGGGGTTCCGGGTTCCTACTGCGGATTGCAGTATACAGGAACTTGACAGTTTCTTTCATTCCGTATGGTTCGGGGTATTGTGTGACCTTGATGCAGACTATCTCATAATGAAAGCAAAAGAAAGGGCTAAATTGATGGAAATTAAGTTTACTATTGAAAAAGAGAGAGGAAGCAGCCGTTATTGTGTATGTCAGTCCGGTACAAGCACTCCTATAACCGGAATGCGTGGATTGACAAAGAAACAGGCACTTCACAAAGCTGCAAAGTTAAACGGTCTGGACTACAAAGAATACATGAGAGTGAGAAAGCGGGACAATATGGACTGCTCGGAGGAAGATGGAAATGAATGTACTGGTTGCCTGTGAAGAATCGCAGCGTGTCTGCATTGCTTTTCGGGAACGCGGACACAACGCATTTTCCTGTGATATTCAGGACTGCTCTGGTGGTCACCCTGAATGGCATATTAAGGATGATGTACTTCCGTTCCTTAATCCGATAAGACTAACTGTTACAGGAGAATATGGAATACTGTTTGCCACTTGTGACGGGAAACATCACCTAATCCGCAACAGATGGGATTTAATTATTGCAAACCCACCTTGCACTTACCTTTCAAATGCGGGAGCATGTCGGTTATATCCTCATAAGGGGCAAATTGATGAGGAACGATATCAAAAGGGACTTGAAGGTAAAGAGTTTTTCATGAAAATGTTGAATGCGGACTGTCCGAGAATAGCAGTAGAAAACCCGGTTCCTTCACGAATTTTCAATCTCCCTGAGAAAACGCAGGTCATACAGCCATATGAATATGGTCATCCTTACACAAAAAAAAAAACATTTTTATGGTTAAAAGGTCTCCCGATGCTGAAACCAACAAACATAGTCACTCCGATTGGTGGTTATGTATGCGGAAACTCGGAGATTTGGAAAAAGCAAGCTGCATCCGGGACGGTTATCGGAAAAGAAAAGGACGCGAAATATCGTTCAAAGACTTTTCCGGGTATCGCAAAAGCAATGGCAGAGCAATGGGGATAATAAACAATAAGGAGAAAGAAAATGTTAAGAATTGAAAAAACTGATGTATTCGGTTGGGAAGCAGCAATACGCGGAATGCGGAACCCGATGAACAGTTGGGACAAGTCCGATTCCTACTACACACATATCGAGGATGCCGAGACAGAGCAGACAGCACCCTTTGAGTTTTTCATCGGTGAAAACGATTTGTCCCTCATGCGTAAACTCTCTGCATCGGGAAACGATCATGGTAAATTCATGAGAATGATCAACGTCACAGCGGATATCACAGCACCTATATATTGGGCAGCAGAACACGATACATACAAAGTTGGGACTGTACGAAACAGTTGTAGTTTCATGCACAAAGGAATGTCAAAACCTTTCGACATTAATGATTTTTCACTTGCGGATACCCGCATATATGAAGTTCTATCTGACATACCGCATAATCTCAATTCTCTCCATTGTGAATATAGAAAGTGGAAGAATAGTTTGAGGTCTTTTCCGCAGGATAACTGGGGCAATAAGAATTTTGACTTATTTGTTATGTGTCGAACATGGGAAAATCTCATTGACACATTAAACTCCTTACGAAATGAGTATCTTACCACAGGGGATGAAAGTCTTTTTCAAATGATTCGTCAATTACTTCCGCAGGGTTATAATGTGAGATATACATGGCAGTCAAACTATCAGGTATTACAGAATATTTATCGGTCAAGAAAGAATCATCGTCTTCCGGAATGGCACACCTTCTGCAACTGGATTGAAGACCTTCCCTATTCCGAACTGATTACAGGAGCAGACTGAGAGGGGAAATATGGACTACTCAAAGATACCGGACGAACTGAAACAACTGAATCAATGGGTATGTGCCTATAACGATTCCAAAGTCCCCATGAAAGCATTTGAGATTCAAGCGGCATCCTGTACAGACCCAGAAACATGGAGTGATTTTGATCATGCCTTGTACGCCGTCCAGAACGGTTTCTACGACCATTTAGGGTTTGTCTTTGCCGACACTGGCATCATAGGCATAGATATCGACACGGGCTTTTCTGACGGTCTTATGACCCCTCTGTGTGCTGACATAGTGGGTGTCTGTCAATCCTACACTGAGAAATCCAGAAGCGGCAGGGGAGTACATATTTTCCTTCACGGGAAACTCCCCTTTCCGGGGGAAGAACAACATGCAGGGTGTAGAGATATATCAGGAGAAACGCTTCTTCATCATGACAGGAAGAAACATTTTGTATCATGATATCACAGAGAATCAGGGAGCCATTGATTACATCATTGAGAAATACTTTCCGGAACAGGAGCAGGAAAGTACCGCTTCCCCACTCTCTCCCAGAATCTACAATCCCGTATACCGGAAACCCGAAAACGGAAAATTTTACGTTAAACCGGATTACCCGGAAATCATGTCAGGAGGGCGGCATATTTCTCTGGTATCTTTGGCAGGAAGTATGCACACAATGGGATACAAAAAAGAGCATATTTATACAGAATTGAAATATGTAAATGAAACCCGCTGCATCCCTCCCCTGTCTGATCGTGAAGTTATGAGCATCTGCACAAGCGTTTGCAAATACAGGAGGTGATAAGATGGCAGAAACGCTTTATATGACGGACGGCACTATTCAATACATCCTTGATGATACCCCGTATGCTTTCATCAATCTTGTCGGACAGTACATGGGAAAAGAAAGCGCGGATTATCTGAAAGGATATCTTGCCGGGATTGATGAAACCTATGGCGAAAACTGGGAGAGTATCGCAGATGGATATTCTCAGGACATGCGGAATGCCTGTCATGAACTGGAATCCGTTATCGGCAGACTGAAAACAAGCAAGATCATAAACCGAGAAAAGACCATTGCAGACCTCACAAACATTCTGCGTGAACTATGGGACAATCTGTAAACAGGAGGATATCATGAACGATTACAACCCGGAAGAACTTTTCCAACTGGAAAACGGCAGATACATAACCTCAGTGGAACTGTCGAACAAAATGAGGTACATAAAAGACCACCACCCGGAAACTTCCACACAGGAAGACAGTACAGGATATTCATGGGATGAAGCAGGAATGGCAGACCTGTTCAGCGAGTGTTATCAGAACGACACCCGCTTTTGTACTGAATCAAAATTATGGTACACCTATGATAACGGCAAATGGAAGAAAGACATAAATTCCTTGCTTGTGTCTTCCAAAATAAAAGAGTTTGTCCGTCTCATGTCTCTTTACTGCGGGGAGATTGTAGACGAGGAAAAGCGCAAGGGAGTATATGAAGTTTGTTGCAAAGATGGGTGACCGCAGATTCCGTGACAGGATGATGAAAGATGCTGCTGATGATATGAAAATAGAAGCAGAGCAGTTTGACCGCAATCCTTATCTCATCAACTGTTTGAACGGTACTTACGATCTGGAACACATGACCTTCCGTGAGCATGACTGGCGGGATTATATAACCCTTCAAACAAACTTTTCTTACACTCTGAAAGAGGGTGTCACCTGTCCCAGATGGGAGAAGTTCATTGATGAAGTAACTCAGGGTGACAAATCCAAAGCAGACTATCTGCAACGTGCGCTTGGGTATTCCATCTTAGGCACAAGCAAAGAAGAATGTATGTTCATCCTTCACGGTAAGACCACCCGAAACGGGAAGTCCACACTTTTGAATACCATAGAACATCTTATGGGGGATTACAGTACCGTTGCACCCGTGGAACTGATCTGTCACAGTGACCGACAGAAAAACGCAGAAGCGGCAAATCCCGTCCTTGCAGGACTGAAAGGCAAACGATTTGTGACAATGGCAGAAAGTGATACCATGAGCAGGATGGATGAATCTGTTATCAAGCAGTATACAGGCGGCGAACAGATTACCGCACGGGAACTGTATCAGACCGCTATCACCTTTACCCCGCAGTTTACTTTATGGTTATCCTGCAACGACCTTCCCGCAGTCCGGGACAAATCTCTGTTCACCTCTGATCGTATTCGTCTGATCGAGTTTAACAGGCACTTTACCGACGAGGAACGGGACAAAGGATTGAAAGCATACTTTATGACAGATAAAGCCATGAAAGGTATCTTTACATGGTTGGCTGCCGGGTTGTTCAAGTATAAGAGATTCGGTCTTGAAATGTCAGAATCCTTAAAGGAACCTGTCAAGCAGTATCGCAGAGACAACGACCTTGTATTGCAGTTTCTTGAAGAAAAGTGCATAAAAGATGATGAACAGGATGTAAGAGCAAAATCTCTGTATGATGCCTATAAAATATGGTGTAAGTCAAACGGTTACTATGTATGCAACATTAAAAAGTTCAATGCAGAAGTAGCAGGACATAACGAATGGTATAGCGAAAAAACACTTGTGATGGGCTATACCGTATTAAGAGGTATTCGATTGAAGTAATTTTAGTAGAGTTAGTAGAGCAAAACACGTTTTTGCTATAAAGTCCCCTATAGAGAGTGATACTATATAAAAGTTATTGCAAAAACCCGATTTGCTCTACTATCTCTACTGAATTCAGAAAGGAGAATTTACAATGGGAAGAAGACCCGGACAGAAAGATTCAAAGCCGAGAAAGAGGGCAGAAGTGGGAAACAGACCTTGTGAACACAGTCCCGTTTTTCAAGACCAGACCAGAGAGCAGGAACCGGGATACAATACAAAGCGTGTTGCATTTCTTATGGAGATAGCACCGACAGAACCTCTTGATCCGCATGACATTCCGGAAATGGAAAGACGCTTTTTAAGGTATTTACAGTTATGTGTGGAAAGAGACCAGAAAGTAGGGAATTTAGCTGCGTATATGGCTATTGGTATTGATAAAGACACAGTACTCTGCGTTGATACCACTGCTTAATCGAACCCGGAACGGTCTCGCTTTGTGAAAAAAGTCAAATCAATTTGTTCCACTTACAGGGAAGGTTTGATGGCAGACGGCAAAGTAAATCCGGTAACCGGGATATTTTGGCAGAAAAACTATGACGGTCTGCGTGATCAGCAGGAAGTTGTGGTTGCCCCCCGCAACCGTCCCTCTCGGCGATCAAGTGGACGCAGAAACCCTGAAACAGCGGTATCTTGAATCGACATACAATGTTTCTGAACTCCCAGAAGGGGCAGAAAGCATAAAAACAGTTGATTTTGAAAAATCCGCAGAAGCGCAGAAAGACCCTGTTTCCGAAAAGTGATTCCCGGCTCCCGGAATTTCCTATGTGAATCCGGGGGCTTTTCCTTTTGTCAAACTTTTGACAATACCCCCGATTCCCGTTTTCCTCTTGCTTTAATTTTATAATTGTAAAACAGTCCGATTTCGTCCCTCTCCCGTATTTCCCTTTTCTGGTTTCCGTTGTTCAGTTCCCCGTATGCCCCGTAACGGCTTCACAATGCCCTACAAGGCGTTTCGTTGCATGGGGGGTATATGATTTATACCCCTAACAGTAAACGCGGCTTGTAGGGCGTTCTACAGGCTTTTACGGGCATGGCATAAAAAAAGCCCCCTGCCGCTTGACAGGGGGGTGCGGGTGATACTATCCGAATAACCCGCGTTTTCGATATTTGATCATGGCTTGAATTGTTTCCGGTTCATACATGGGTATATTGTAAAGGTGTATCCCCTCCGCAGTCATATAGTACCCCTGCCCATACCGGGGCAACAGTTCGCAGCCTGTACACCCTAATATATTACGGGAATCCTGCGCAGAGCGCGTCCGCAGTCCTACACGGGCATCAAAATTGACTTTTATCGGTGTTGGGATAACTGCGGCAATGGGGCATTGAGTGGCAGCTATTACATGCACACGGGCGGCGCGTCCTATTTGGCATAACCGTTGTATAATCGGTTGTACTTGCTTTTTTGCCGTTGTCATCAAATCCGCTAATTCATCAATGACAACGTACAAATCACCCCCGGAAAAGGTTTTTACCCGTTTCCGCTGCATTTGTTTATATCGTTGTTCAGTGATGCTTATAGCCATTTGTAACGCTGCTATTATTTCATCGGGTTCACTTGCATACTTTACACAATGGGAAACGCGGGAAAAGTCGATCAGTTCAACCCTTTTCGGGTCTATGAAAATAAATTGTACTTGATCAGGGGAACGGAATAAAGCGGTATATATCAGGCTGTTTATAACAACGCTTTTGCCGCTTCCCGTTGCCCCTGCAATCAGTAAATGCGGCTGTTTTAGCATATCGGTATATAACCCGTATGTCGTGCCTGTAAAGGGTTTACGCACCGTTACTGCACCTCCTAAAAATAACCCGCCCCGGCTTTATCGGGACGGGATTATTATATCAGTTTCTAATATATTCGTCAAGGGGAATCCGGTTATTATTGAACCGGAAAAACGCTTTACCGGATGCGGTATAATAAATACGGCTGCGGTGAACCTCTTTCTTTCCGTACCATGCACCCGCAACGAAAACGATATAATCATCAATGCCGTTTTTTATTGCCTTGATTTCAATACCGGAAAACCCCGAATAATACCCGATACAACGGGCATTCATAGCCGCTTGTTTTTTCTCTGTTTGTCATGATTCAAGCCCCCTTTTTCAGTTCGTTATAATTATTAATAATCATCAATGCCGCTTGATATAATGCCCGTGCTTGAGTATCAAGCCATTCTTCCCGGCTATTCGGGCGGCGTTCCCCGTTCCGGGTCTTTTTGAGTTCGGACGGTGTACAGAGGCGTTCCGCTATGTCTTCATCATAAATCAGGGAACACCCGCCCCGACTGTATTCCGTCCAGTTGGGAGCACCGTTATACAACCAGCGTTGCAACTCCATAACGTTTTCCGGTTCCCGTCCGTAATATTCGGATAGTTCTTCACACTGGGAAATCAATCCCCGTGCATACTCTACAACGCCCCGCTCCCATGCGGAACGGGTTTTTTTTTTCGTTCAGTGCGTTCATGATCATTTCAAACATGTTTCTTTCCTCCTGCCGTTATTGGCTGTTTATGTTGGGTTTTTCGTTTACGTTTGCATTATAGCACATTCACATTTATTTGTCAATAGTAAATACGAATTTTAATCAAGATTTTTTGCGAATTTTTGAAAAAGTTTTCCGGGGACGGGTTCCGGGTTCTGTCCGATCATGCCGGGGACGGGTTCCCGGTTCCGCCTGATCATGCCGGGGACGGGTTCCGGGGCTGTTAGGGATTCCCCCCGGGGAGGGGGAAAGCTGCCGGGGGCGAGTGGGGCGGGTAGTACTCTGCGTTGATACCACTGCTT